CGGCATTCTTTGCTGCAACATTTTCATTCATTAGCATAATTATCTCACTACTTTTCATCCCAAGAAATACGAAAGCATTATCACCACAGGAGAAATCTGCTGAAAAGCTTGAAGCAAGTGAGTTGATGAATTTGGTTCTTAGGCTTTCTTTAGGTTAAAGGTCAAGCCTAGCCAAGTGAGTTGTTTGATGATGTTCAGGTAGAGCAGTGGCCTTAATGTTTTTGACGCTGGACTCTGTTGAGAGGTCTGAGTTGGAGACCTTGCTGGGTCATTGTGTAATGTTTTTGGGTTAAAAACACTTCACTTTCACAGTTCCTCTCTCCACCTAGGAATATAAATGGGTGTGGCCAAATTGTCGCGGAAGCCTGATGAAGTACAGGGGGGTAACTTTGGGTTGAACTAGCATCCCATCCAGGGGGGAGTAGCAACACTATGGAAACTGGAATAAGTTCTGCTTAGATAGGTCATTGGGCATGGTCTCCCCAGACTCCTAAGGCTGTACTTATGCCATGAAATGTGCATATCAAATTTCCACATGGGCATGCTCTCCCCAGACTCCTAAGGCTGTACTTATGCCATGAAATGTGCATATCAAATTTCCACATGGGCATGCTCTCCTCAGACTGCTAAGGCTGTACTTATGCCATGAAATGTGCATATCAAATTTCCACACTGGCATGCTCTCCCCAGACTCTTAAGGCTGTGCCGATGCCTCAAAATTTTTTAATCAAATCCCCACATTGGTTGTTCCTCTACTTCTCATAGCCATTAGTAAAACTTATATTTATAGACCAGGGTTCTGACACTAAGGTAGAATCAAAACTTCCTCCCATAAATGGGGCATATAAAATAGGTTTAAAACTTAGCTTTCTATTAACATCACTGCATAATTACTGTGCTTTCTTTCAGATAACAAGGAACAACCTGCAAGTGTTTTTAGTGTCAAGAAGATCCTAGAACTTTTGCATATACCAACTGTGTTATATTTAATTACCATCAAAATCATCACAGGAATCCCATTTGGAATTTTCCAGTCTATGTTCTCATTAGTGTCCATGGAATTTTTCAAGTTGGAGCCTCAGCAGAATGGCTTTGTCATGTCATATGTTGGGGTACTTTCAATAGTAAGTGATGAAAGATGTGCTCAACTCCTACGAGTGACCAAGACAGAATTTCTCCTTACAATATCAATACAATATCAAGCAGACAAGTGATGAGAATTCATATTCCATTAGGAGATTGTTAGTCGATCCAATACCAAATTCTTAGAACTGACATCATAAGAATTGTTTGGCAGACAGTAAGGAGAATCACTGAATGAGATCTTGGGAGTGAAAGGTTTAATTTTGAGTCATTTTCTTCGAGCCATGCAATGAGAAAGTTTGGCAGGCATTTGTGACTAAATTGCATGCAAGAGAAGATGCCCATGTATGCGTATTATTTCTCATTGTGGAAAACAAAGAGCCAATTAAAAGGTGTTTGCCTGTGCAAGCAAATGATTATGTCCAGGGGTTTGGAACGTTATCTTCTGAGTGGAATGTATAGGTCTTGCTTGAAGAATTGTGATTAAAACATGTTTGGTAAGAGCTGGGGTGAAATCCTTTTTCATTGTAAGACAGCTGTGAACTAAGGGCACCATCTTTTAATGCTTATCACCCCAACATCAGTGTGCAGATTCTCCATACTGTTTTCTATACATTTCCTAAGGTGCTGACAAGGAGAATTTGTTGAACAATTGCGATCCTCTTTAGTTGGTGATCGTTTTCTTCATTCTCATGACCTTAATGTTTGATTCAGGGGTGATATTGTAAGGAAAAATTCCATGCAAGACACTCTTGGGGGTTAAAGGTGTAAGATAAAGACAGATTAAGTGAGGGAATCTTCCATCTGAGAAAATGTAGGTTATGAAGTATGGAAGGTCTTCTTTGATTACGGTTCCCCTCAGTCAGTTGTCTTTTCCCAATGATGGTGAATAATGATGAATATTTCATGTGTCTTTTCTTACAGGTTGCTCAAGGACTTATTGTAGGTGTCTTGTCAAGAAGATTTAGTGAGCCTTTTCTATTGAGAGGAGCCATTTGTGTGATAGCATCAGCATATGGGCTTTTGGTTAGTTCCAACTGATTCATACATAAAAAGGTCTAACTTTACTTTGACCATTTCCAGTGTCTTCTAATGTTTTCTTTAACCTAACATTAAGAATTTGGTTCCACAATATCATGAAAATGTTCATTCAGTCAGAATTTAATGCTTTGGTCTTCTTGAAACTCATTTTTCATCATTTTCCATGACCCAAATGAATGCTTAGAAAAAAGGATAACTTCTTTCAATATGTTTGTCACATGCAAAACAGTCAGTTACCTTTGAGGAAAGGAATTTTGACCCCAAAAGAATAAAAATATTTTTTCAGCCTGAAACAAATTTTTGATCTGATTGAAGAGTAATATATTGGGTGTAGACTTTCTCCTGTTTAACTGAGTATTTTTGTTGCTATTGTGCATCATTATCTGTAATTGATAATGTTACATGTCATTACTGATGCCACCTTTGTGTAGTGGGGTTTTTTACAGACTAGCCTTAGAGTGGCTCACAAATTAATGCAAATTTTGATCATTTCTTATCCAATCATTTCCTTTTAGTACATGGTGACAGACATTTATCAGTTTTGCATTGTGATTATCCCAATGGTAGTTGGTGGAACGACACTGAATGTCATCACAACATCAGCCATGACAAAAAGTGTGACAGTCACTAAAACAGGTGCTGTGCTAGGTCTCTCCATGGCAACCAACTCCCTTATACGAACTGTCTCCCCAACCATGGGAAGTATCATGTACAAGAACTATGGTTGGCCCTCAATTGGTCTCTTGGGACTTGTGGTGAATGCTGCAGTTGCCTTGTTTTTATTTTACCATGGAAAAGACTCATTTTAGTCACAAAGCTTTAGATACACTCAGTTATTGGTGGATCTCGAGTTGAGGTATTTTCATGCATGCAAACATTTTTACTGCAACACTGATGTGTAGTATCATAATTTAACTCTTGAGAGTACAAGACAAAATCTGCCAGAGTTTTCTATGAAAATTGAAGATGTCAAAAAAGTTTTCTGTGGTGAATTTAGATCAGTCCATGATCATAACTTGTTTTGAAACCAGTTTCCCATTTTTCTGTACTTTGTAGATGACCCTTGTGTTTTCTCACCTTTAAACTACAATACGCAAATAACTCTTCACACTTATGTCTGTGGCTGCTAGAGTTTGAGGCATACATGCCTACATTTTAATGTGCTCCAGGGAGAATAAGATATTTACAAATTATTCCTCTTGTTCACATATAGCTTTATCAGTCAATAATTACTTCATTACTTACAAAATATATTAGCTATCACCAGTAGAACCTCAACATAGATTCCCTTATCATCCTTGTGCGGTATTCTACCAGCCACACTGGTTCAATATGGGATCTATATTATTCCTTTTTTTATTGACATCATGTGAACATTATTAAACTACATAAGGCTACATGAAATTTCATTGGCACCATAGGAACACTAACATTATTTTTCACTGTCACAGATGTTATGAATTGGTGAAACTCAGCAGTGCAGACAAAAATAGATTAACCATTGAAGAGGTTAAGTTCTTGTGTCTGGGCATCCCATTAAATTAATTTGACTTTTCATTCATAGGGAATGACCATTTGAAAATAATTTTCAGAAATTTTCTGCAGACGAATACCAAATGAAATTGAATTAATTCTAAACATCCAAAAAAAAAAAAAAGGGGATTGTGTCAGTTTAAGCTGTATATTAGTAGCAATACGTATCTGTTAAAATGTTTCCTATGATCAAGACTAAATTATTAAAAATAAGTTCCTAGTTGCTAAATGTTAAAATTCTACTTCTACTTTAAAAATAATTGAGTTGTAAAGTTCACCAGTTTGGTGTGTCCTTGTTGTTATTGTTGTTGTTTTTAACCCCTTCTAGCTGTTATACCTTTCCTCGTAAATTAGTTATGAGAATTTGGTGTTAGATAAGGATAACAAATTCTACCTGATAAGTTTGAGAATTCTCATTACCTGTTTGCTGGATAATGTAAGGATATTATAGGGAGAAGTTTCATGTTAATCACTTCATGGAGTTAAAGGGTTGAACAGAACAATTCTGACCCAAACAGGACTAAAAGTATTGCTCTCTTTGTGTAGTGGTCTCTTCAAGAATTCTTGTCATGCCTTCTAATGACCTTGTGTGACAGAAATGTCCTCTTCATGTCAAATATAAGGAGTATGATAGTTATGCCATTATATTCTCAATGGTAATAACAAAAAAATAGGAAAAAAAATGATAAAAATACTTCTGCTTCCATTGCCTTCCTTCTAATGATGTGACAGATCAGTGTCAGTATCTGAGCAACTGCACACACCCAACCCCTCCCTCAACCCAACAACAGTCAACTGATAACAACTAAGGGTTAATTTTGGGTTAGGAGAGGGGTAGGTGGGCAGTTGCTCAGATACTGATTACTGTTGTAATCACATCAATAGTATTTTCCATGATTGGTGAGTTTGTATCTGCAATCTTATTCAGAGGCACGTCCAGATACAGAATTGAATTTGGAATGTAGGAATGACCAAGAACTGAACGTTAGCTCTTGGCCTTCTTGGATGCTTTTTTCAGTTTCTTGTAGCACGAGTGACACACGCGGACGGGAGCATGGATCCCAAGACGGCTGATCTCTGACTCGTAGCTACTGCATCTGAAAAACCAAGGGACAGGAAATATTCTTAAGTAGTAAACTAAGTAAATTAAATCGATGGAAGCAAACCAGTCGATAAAGATTAGCTTCTATTGTCTTAAAAAATAGTTTCCATGTTGCCATGTGTCTGTTTAGTAGAAACATCAGTGACACAATTGGCTGCGCCTCATGCAATTCTTTTTTTGTTCCTGCCACATCTCGATGTCATCTGTGATCTATTACTGAACAGACGCACGACAACATAGAATTTATTAGTGAAACTGTTTTTTTTTTTTATATCTCTCAGTTAAATTCAAAGTTTGTTGATATTGAAATCTTCCCCCTTTTATTTGAATCAAGAGATGCACTAACCTTTTAACTCCCAAGATCTGATAGTCAATTCTCCCCTCCAGCTACTGAACAGTTCCTTTTAAATTAGTTTCAAGAATTTGGTGCTAGATCAAGACAACAACTTCCACTTGATATGTTTGAGTATTCTCATGACCTGTTTCTTGGATAATGTAGGGATATTGCAGGGAGAATTTCGATTTTAATCACCTCTGGGAGTTAAAGGGTCAAATATCGTACTCACCTTGTTTTTTCGGTCTGCGCAGTAAGTTAAGGAACCTCGTTAGTCAATAACTTACAGTACAGACCTCGAACTCAGCTAGTAAGAGGTATCTCGTAACCGCGTGCAAATCACCATTTCTCCCAACGAACACAACAAATATCTTTACCATTAGACAACTCTTAGGAAAGCCAAATCCAAAAGATTATCAAGTACCTTGCACAGAAAACCTTCCCACAATCCCTGCAGTGATGGCGCCTCTCAATGAACTTGAACCTAATGCCACAACCTGTGCAAATGTCAGCAAATTCGTCCTTCACCCAATGGTCAGCCATACGACCTGCAGGAATAAATACAAGATATCAACGAATAGTCTGTACTATGAATAGTGAATCTAAAAATCCCATGGATCTTTGTGTGTAAGACACGTGATAATGTTATGCGTGTGTATTTATCAGCATGATCGGTCCATACCTGCGGCGTCAGTCACAGACCAACTGTAGATCCGTCCTCGGAAATCTCCAACAAATAACTTGCGATGATCCCTGTAAAAAGTGGAAAACGATCGGTGTTTAATTCAGAGAGAAGGGTGACTGAATCCTTTACATGATCATTGACAACAAAAAGAGCCGAAAAAATATCTGGCTGTCTTAAAAGATGTTTAAAAATGCGTCGGTCGCTCCGTTCGTAGTCCGTCGGTTCGTTCGTTCGTTCGTTCATTCGGTCGTTCGGTCGTTCGGTCGTTCTTTCGCTCGCTTGCTCGTTTCTTCGTTTTTTTTATTAGATGGTCGGTACGTTTCTCCGCTTGTCCTTCGATCGTTCGCTTGTTCGTTGCTCATTATTGATCCTTCTTTATTCACTGTTCGTCGTTTATCGTTCGTCTTTTGCCGTTCGTTCATTCGTTCGTTCTTCGATCAATCGAAAAGTCAGTTGTTCCTGTCTTCGTTCAGTCGGTCGATCGTTCTCTCTGTCGATCGATTGGTCAGTTCGCAGAAATCACAAAACTCACTTCGACACAAGTAAAGATGTAATGACCGCTGGAGCTGAATTGTCTTCTCTGGCAAACGCTGTGTGCATTGTCAGCTTATGTCTGAGCACCAGGCGTCTTCTCCACACTTTAAATGGTACGAAACAGAAAAAAAAACCATTCAGCAATTTGTTTGAATCCGAGAGTAACAGCTGATTCTGTCGGATGATCGTCATAACTATTGTCAGCGAATGACGTTTCGACAACCTGGGTGCCGGGAGGTTATCAACAAAGTCAGGTATCAAAGGTTTAGTTGAATGCGATGGAGCCATCCGCTCCACTCATGGGCTCGAAACGTCAGTCACATCAACATATATGATTATAAAATACTCTCCAGCTTCTTAAGACAGAAGCTAAACTCAAAATTGTTTCTAATATTCAAAGAAATGATAGAGAAATTTTTAGCTGAGAGTTGAAGTGGTTGCTTTGGTTTTGATCTTCTACGCTCTGTGATTGGCCCAGAAAACTAGCGCCACTTTTCTTAACCAATCAGATGCAAACCTAAATCTAATCACAACTTGGTCGCCCACGTTTTACCGCGCTTAAAGCAGTTTGCGTTTTTCATTCTGAGCTCTCATTGGCTGCTTGTGATTTTCCCTTGGCTATGATTGGCTGATGTAGTTACTTTGGTTTTGGTTTTATGACCCTGAACCGGGATGCGCTCTATACATACCTGGTTTAGGCAAGTCTTTACTCTCGCAGTTTCTCTTATGGGTAATTATGACGTACTCCTCTTCTATACTTTCATCACGCAGGTTAGGTGTCATATGACGTCTCATCTCCACTACTTCAGTCAACTCAACGTCCTCTGCTGCCGTAGGCCTCACGTGATCGCTGAGTTTTTCCTCCAAAGTCTCTTTTGCCAATTCAGGTCGAAGGTCTGCTTGTTCAGAGGTAACAACTGACTGGTTGGGCTGCGGGATCTGATCGGCCGACGCGTTTTCGCGCTTTAGAGAGGAGTCTAGATCCGAACACGATTCCGTTACTAATTCCTCAGTCCCAGTCTCCTGTGGTGCGTCCTCTGCATCTTTACCTTTTAGTTCCGAGTTCTTTGACGGAGTTTCGTCAGTTTTCGGAGATACTGATTTCATACTTCGGCGGGTTTTCGCCGACTCGTCGTAGAATTCGATCCCCCACATCTGCAAAGACGACACTAGTAAATATTTGAGCCAAAAAAAATCTGTCTTTGAAAAAAAAAGTTCAGCAAGAAGTTAATAAAAAACATGAACAGAAGGAAAACTAAAATTATGCTTACCCTTACGACACCGTCTATAGAGCCCGTGAGAATAACATTTTCCTCATCCCATTCAGAAAGCTGTAAAATAAACATAATATTAGAATGTCACATTTGAAAAGGAAAAACTGGATTGAATCGCAGATGTCAGGTAGAAAAAGCGTGAAGTCGATTTAAAAATACCAGCTGAAGTTTGAAATTTCATGATTAGTTCGCCGTAAAAGAGTCAGCTTGCATGCTTGTTAGTGACATGAAACGACAGTGAAATATCACATAGTTAGTTCATTTTTTTTTTAATTCTAGTCACCTTTCCGCTTTAAAATGTATTGATATAGTGAGGAGAAATTACTAAATGGTCACCCCTCACTCCAAGGAGTAGGTGGGTCATTAGGAGTTCGCCACTGCTCCTGAATAGTGGAGGAAAATCGAGTTGCGAGGCGCATGAGCAGAGCTTCGTCGTATCAAACCAGGGAAAGTTGTAGAGGTACAATTCTCAAGTCCCACAAATAACGTAAATAAAAGAAAAATGAAATAGTCTGGGAGAGCTTTTAAAATAAGTGTTGCACGTTGTCTGACGCACCTCGGACATGGCACAGCATTGTATGTGGTTGGTGTTCTGTAATGAAGTGTTCTCTTTCACAATCAGCTGCCCGTTGACGGACCAAACGTAGAGATATGTTCCGGCGCAAGTCGCGATATCTCCCTGGAAGTAAAAAAGGAAAACAAAACAAAGGCTGTCGGTGTGAAAGTTGGTAAACGGAAGTTGCGTGACATGACACTTGTAACGCATTCACGGTTGGGTTTAAATTGAAATCGAAGACGCAATGAGCAGAAAAATAGGTTTTAGGAGAGAGTGTACTAAGTTTGTGACGTGGTGAACGTTGATGATGAGCAATAAAACAAGGATCTGACGATTGAAAGAAGAGTGTACCCTACAAGCTCGGTACATTGGATTTCAAATGTCGGGTTTTCTTTGCGCCGAATCTTATCTGAGCGACTACGCACCTACCCTTCCCTCAACCCAACAACAGTCAAGCATTCAGGTGAGCATTTTCTCAGATACAGAAATTGATCCAAATAACAGAGAGTTGTTTGCTTACCGTTAGATCATTGATAGCTATGGCAGTGATTGGTGCCATGTGTTGAGACAACTGTCGGACGTAAGTCAATTTGCTCAAGTCCCAAACAATACATGTCTGATCCTGCAAAGGAGTAAGTTAAAATCTCATGAAATAAATGATACTAAAATTTACCTCGCCCTTAACGCGTGGCTTCGTATCTCAGTTACTAGTATCTGAGAGGAACGCGTTAGAATTCCGTCGAAGCCTGAATTTTAAAGACTTTTCTACTGAAATGTCTTTAATAACTGCGTTATTGATAAATTGATAAGATCGTTCCTATAACTGTAGAGGATATAGATAAATCACTGTCGATGAACAAAACAAACTCGTTCCATAAGCCAAGTACACCAGGAGGGTTTAACATTTACACCTTGACATCAGTATGCATG